ACTTCAGAGAGTTAAATTTAAAGGTGGAACTAGTATTCTCTTAAATGTGTTCTGTACGTGCTTAGTGTGTATTTATTTGTTTGTGTGATTCCGTTTGTGTTCTCTCACCTCATCCTGGTCCAGCATTTGCTGCTTCAGTTTCTCCACCAACTGGCACTGCAGGTTGATCTCATCATCCTGCACAAACACAGCGTTGTCATAAACACCTCGTTAACATCCACAGAAAAGACTTTCATTTCCTTTGTGCTTTGTGATAATTAATGAATCCATAATCACAAGATAAACACAAGTGAGAAGGAGGGCACAAAAATATCTCTACGCACCTTTAATTAAAAAATTTGCATTTGCATGGACATGGAAACTAGAAACTAGGACTTGCTGCCCTAATTATGTAGTAATAATTAGTAATACTGATTAATAATGTTTGAACCTTGTCATCCAGCTGCTTGTACAGCTTGCGGATCTCCTCCTCATACTTCTGGCGCTCCTCTTCAGAGATGCGGACCACAATGGAGGAGGTGTCATTGTCCAGAATGGGACGCTCCTCCACAGCTTCGATACGGGTCACCACATCGGGTGTGGTCTGCTCGGTCTCTGGCACGTCCTCTCCTGAAGGGGACAAATGCAAAGACAACGAGTTTGCAAAAGTTTGCATTACATACTGTGCATATTCTCCAGCAATACATTTGCACATTCCTGCACACTGACAATGGAACTTTTTATGACTTACAATCCCTTGCATTTGATAAACTTGCTTCTTATTTGTCCTGTCACTTTTTCTCCATGTTTAGGTTGACTGTTATGCACTGAGTGAAATTCCACTCGGTAATAAAACTGTTTCTGACTTCTAAGGACAGAACGCTTAATCTCACCATTTCTCCAGCGGTTGAGCTCAATCTCCAGTTTCTGAATAGTCTCCTTCAGGGTCTTGTTCTTCTCCTTCTCCTTCTCGTACTTCCTCTTCCACTGCTCGGCTGTCAGCTCCAGGTTGATGGAGGCGGTGTTCCTGATGGTCTTGGCGCTGTGACGGAGAAAAGCAAGGACAAAGAGACACAGAGTCAGGCTGATGATGCTTTGTGTCTGTATTTGAATAAAACGTTTATTATGTAGCTCCAAGGTCACCTGACATGAGGTCAAACTGCAAAACAAAGATGATGCTAACATTTTTGATGTACCGGATAATAATTTGCTCTGGAGAACTTTCCTGAGGCATCTGACTTAAAAAGACAGTCATTCCCTTCCAGGCAAAACAACACAATCACAATAACATGAAACAAGCACAGTGTTGTTTTAAGGGCAGCAACTGCTTCTCCTTTGTTTGGAGTTTAGGTCACGCCCAAAATAGTTCATTGCCCTAATTTTAAAGGATAAGCTTCCCAGCTGAAAAATTAAAGGCAAAAGACACTTAAACACATTTCCTGGCTTCCCGTTTCCTGGCTTCCTTTACAAGTTAAATTATCATACGTTTATGAAAGATGCATGGATTTGACTCGGCCTCACTCAAACAAATTTGCTCCTACCTGTATTACTGATCATCTTTAAATCTATTTTTGCACGTCAAACATAAATGTGACTTAATCGAGTGGGTAGTTTAGATCAGCATCCGACTCTGGCATTTTTTTTTGAATTTCATTAATATATTCTGATGTAAGCGTTAAAACTAGCAGTTAAAACTATATGAGTACACTCAAAAATAGGTCCGCAAATGAGAACAAGAAACATATTTCTGTGGTTTTCCTGCTTTCTGTTGAAATAAACACTTCATGCATGATTTCTCTCCAAAGATGCTGCGACAGCATCCGCAGGTGCATCTACCGTTGTCCGAACATCAGAGTCGACTTGGTCTCTGCATCATTGTAGCTGGAGGGAGAGCAGCAAATGAACATGGTGGTGCGACAGTTTCCACCGAGGGAGTCCTGCAGGATGCGGGTCATCTTGCTGTCACGGTACGGCACGTGAGTTTTCTGCAGGAGACGGAAGAAGAGGGTAGAAGAGAGTCGAGGACGGGTAGGGAGGGAAGATAAAGATGAAAGAGGAAGAAGCAGTGAGGAAGAAGAGATGGGAAAGTGGGACGAGATAAGAACGGATTAGAGAAAGAGAGAGAAGAAGAGAAAACCAAGCAACCAAAAGCAAAAGAAATGCTTGGGGTTTCTTTCATTTGCTTCCTGATTTTGTACTTTTGCAAAGATTCATTAACAGATTTTATTCTGCAAAAAGTAGCATTTTTATTGTTCCTCTCCTGGTTTGTCGTTAACAAAGTCTGTCAGAATCTACTGTCTGCTGTCAAAAGTGTGGGATTGATTGTGCTGCATCCAACTAATCTCATAATTGCCAGGGATAGTTTTGGCATTTCAGGACCAAATCTGTTGAGCTGGCAGAAAGAAGTGGAGGGTGTTGGTAAGTTGGCACGTCCCCATGTGGGACAGTCGGCTAGTGGACACGAACGTTAGAAATGAGAGAGGAGGCTGTTTCCTATTTGAATCTGGAGGCAAACAGGACACTTTTGATTGTAAAAATATGAAATTAAACATGCTTTGATCTGGTTAAAGTTGCAAAATGCTATTATTTCTATTATTTTCTTTCTAGTATCTTAAAAAAAAAAAGAAGTCAAAAGAGAAGACTAACGTAAAAATAAAAATGCTTTTTATCACTTTACTCACAGAAACCCCAAGATCCTAGAAACTATGGAGGAAAATGATGGCATTAGCTCACCGTGCCCTCAGCCAAAGCAGAGATGACGTTTCCGAGAGCAGAAAGGGACTTGTTGATGTTTTTAGCCTCATCCAGAACAGCACCTGCAGCGCCGGTCTTACTGACCTGGAATAAAGGAAGAGAAGGAACAAATGGCATGAGGCACGGAGAGATGAAAAAACCAGAAACACAGATACAGTCGAATGTAAACACATCTGTGTCTGCATGTTTACTCATAAACATGTGACAATGTAAAATAATTACATCTAAGTTGCTGATTAAAAGCAGTTCAATGATCATAACTCTACCTTCTCGCTGCCGGCCAGATCCACCAGGTAGAGTTTTCCACACAGCTTCTGCTCAGTCTCCACGTGCTCCTGTTTGATGTTGATCAGGAAGATGCTGTGGCTGCGAGAGCTGTGCTCGTTCATGTCTGCACAACGACCGGGGCCACGCAACAGTCAGAGAAGTGACAAAGACAAAAGGCTAGAGACAGTATGAGGAGAGGTGAACTGAGGGTCTTAAACTTTAGATATCACATGTAGCTTTGAAAGAACATCTGCAAGAATGAGAAAAATTTGACACCGATTTTTTAAAGTCAACATTTCTTACAAAAGTCCCTTGAGGAAAAAAGTATACTGTTAAAAACACAGTAGAATAAAATGAAGCTATCCTTACCTGCTGTTAAATGATAACAATATAATCCAGTACCACCAATTCTTAGACCCTAAAGGAGTACTCCACCAAATAAGCAATGTATATTTTTAATATGGTACGACTCACAACAGATTATTTAAAAGACATATTATTTGTCCTTGTCAAAGCCTGGTGCCTACATTACCCACAATGCACCTTCACCATTGACAGTTTGTTAGGGATGTGGTAATGTCAAGCTTGTAGCAGGTAATGTAGCCTGAGGTTGCATATACTGAGGTTGTATTTATATGTGTGAGACCTATACGTTAACTGACTTTAATTTAAACATCATCAATTTTCTGATGGAGTTAGGTTGGAAAAATGACAAAAACCTAAGTTTAAAATCATGATATTTGTTTAAAATCACTTCATTCTACACGTTTAAATAAAAAAAATGTGAAAAATAAATCCCTTTCTTTACCCAGATTCTATAAAAAAATAAAATAAATCTGCCTACTGGAAAAAAAAAAAAAAAAGCCATACGGTGACTAAGCTGTGACCAACAGTCACATGACATGGCTTCAGGCTGAACTGCAGGCTGTGTTTATGTGGAGCAGATATGAGGTCAGTGTTGGAAGAAATTAAAAATAGAAGTAGTAAAAAATACCTATGCGATGTAGACACGGTTTCCAGCATTAGTAACACCTGAGAGCATGTAGAAAACACGTACATTCCAAGTCTTTTCAATTTTTGTAAAATACATAGTCGTATATTTAACTCTTTTCCTTTTTTGTGATTTATGACATTATACCTTTGTCTGACATTTCTGAGTTCTCTCTACTTGTTGTCATGGCTGTTCTGTTTCCATAGAGGTGCAGAACTTTATATTGCAGTAAAAAATGAGCCCACAGTGAGTAAAAATGTGACCAAAAAAAAAAAATAGCCAGAAACTGCTTCTGGTTCAGAGGATTAATGCACTGAAACTAGCTACAAATCATGAAGAAGTAATTTGGGGATGGATTTGAAATCTTTTTTGTCAGCGAGACAAGCCGTTGGTGCAGCAGAATGATGTCACCGTTGCACAGAGGGCAGATAATGAACAACACTGTACCAAATGCTTCTCTCCACTGGACCTCCGCTCAGACAGAAAGTTCAGGTTTCTCTGCAGATGATATCTGAGGGCATCAGCTCAGTGTCTGCAGAGTGTCGCCCCATTAGGCTGCTATCAGCACACCGTCCTGCAGCACAGTGAGTCAGCAGGCATCGACAGGAAACAGACAAGGCTGCGCTGCTCAGGAACGCAGCTTTCAGCAAATCTCATCCACGGCTGCTTCCAGTCAGTTGTTACAGGATGAATTGTCGGAAAATGTAATCGCTATCACATCTTTACAGTCAAAAGACTCTGAGTTACTTTTATTATGAGTGATTTCTAAATCCCTCGTATGATTTGTCTCTTTAATGAAGCTGTCTTTGTATCCAATCAGCAGGCAAAGCATCCGTCTACTTCCCCATACACATGTAAAATCCAGACACTACTGAGCCCACATAGTCGTCTAGCTCAGGCTATGTAGGGTGGGCGTGTGGCATATAGGAAAAAATGAGCATTTATAGGGATTTTGCATGTACAGAAGGACTCTGCAGCTCAGCATGAAGTGTCAGGTTAGATAGTATTTCACTGGAGTGTCTGGTAAGAGATGGCTGATCAGTAAGCTCAGTGGATGGATGGATTAACCCCTAACATGCAGCCCCTATATAAAAGACTGTAATCCTGCAAACAAGTATGCACCTATATGGATGACAGAAAAGGTAAAACTAAGCTACCATTTCACTGAGAACACACTCTTGTTATAAAGGAAGGAACTGTTCATTCTGCTGCTGCTGCTGCTGCTGCTGCTATTGTTGTTGGGGTATTGTTATCCTAAGATGGTTTGCACAGTTTGAATCGTGAGGCTTTGTGCTTTCAAACAATGATTCAGAATGAGTCTATAGAGTCCCAAATGTTCACTCGGCGTGTAGTCGGGCTGGTGAGAGTTAACTGTTAAAACACTTGTGTTCTTTTATAGTGTTCTGCATCAAATAATCTGAGCTTTCAGCTTTAGAGACATGCCTGACAGCCAGTACCACTCTGCAGCTGAGGAAAAACATCTCTCGTCATTAGTGAAACCCATTTTACCTCACATATGCTGTTGAGGAAATTTCACCTCCTATATTTTAGATTTCAGGACTGATTCCAGGTGAATGCCTTCTATGATCAGGTATATTACAAATAAAGAATTTTGCTTTCTACAATAAGATTTAGCATCCCATTATAACTGCACGCACATGATATCCTTCTATTTACAAGTACTAAGATTGTAAAACAATTTGAACAGCAAAGGAAAATGATCAATGAGATATATTCTGTAGTTCATCTTTACTGTAAAGATTTAGAAGACGCTGTATGAGCTTGCCTCTTATTTTCCATTTACAGTGACAGACCAGATTTACTTTATGTTAAACGTGAGCCTCACTCTGACCTGTGACGGTCTCTCTGGCTCAGTACCTGCACGCTGAGACCATCAAATTACTATTGACAGGAAGGTTGACTGCAGCGATTCGAGTAATTAAGGACTCGCACTGAGAGGCAGAAATGTTAATGTACAAGCCATTAAATATTTGAGAGCTGCAGCCTGAAATGTAATTAACTAAATTCCCATTCTGATATGACCCGCTTTCTAGAACAATCAGTCCTTTATAGCTGCATTAGCTTGGTAATTAAGTGTTGTTTTGATAGTTTTATGAGGGTTTGTCTTTTACAATAATAGTGGAAACTTGCTTTACCCACCTTTATTTGCATTAACTACTTAATTGCAATGAAACAAAACAAGTGCTTAGATGGCTACTATTAAATAATTCAAGCTTCTGGGTCGTTCAGTTAGCAGTCAGTCACATCTATCTTGCAAAAAGCCCAAATCCTGCAGCACAGATGATTTGCAGTCGCCAACAGTAAGTGAAAGCCTTCAAAGTCTTTTGTGAAGAGAAGCAAGCGCGCTGAGCACCGAGGCGCAAAATACATTAACTCCGAAGGAAAAACGAGGTCTGTGCAGGTTGAGATTTATTACAGTGGAGCAGCGCTGATGTTTTTGTTGAACACCGAATCCCAGAGCTCATCTGATCTCGTTCTTTTTTACTTCAGTCTGCAGCACTGTGAGTCAGCACAAGACTCTCAGAAAAAAAACACAAAGAAATAAATGAATATACTGTGCCGGTTGTTACTCAGACAGTTCTCGGAGGAGTTTCTTTATTATGTTTTAGAAACACCTCTGCTGCAATAAATAAAAAAAAATCTGTCTGAACAGCAATAATTTTAACTTATTCAGTAGAAGTCACACAAAATTATGGCATGAAACCAAAGCTGCACGATCCTTTTGCAGTAAATATCACAAGATAAATGTTTACACTCATGCAATGTCTTGATTGGAAGCAAATGTTGCACCTAATTTCTGTTAATTACGTGGCTTTTTCAGCTACATGTTTTTAAAACTGCATTGACGTTTTGTACCATGAAGCCAAGCGATCACCTGCAAAACCTTCAGTACTGGAGCCATTCATCACATAAACTCTATTGCTGGACCACAGAGGAGTGAATCAGCAGCTCAATACAAAGTGCAGGAACTACAGATCAGGCAGCTTTTATTTCTGGTGTTTGGGAGGTTTTGTAGCATTAATTAGAGCCTACTGGTGCCAGCTGACTGAAAATTGCACCGTCTGACTCCAGCTTGCTCCTTATGTTTGTAACGAGGAATGGCTTTATTGAAAAAAAAATGGCTCCGGGGCTGAGATGTTCGTCTGCTTTGTTATTTTCTTCCCATCCACTCCGTCCCTGCCCAGCAAATCAAAATGAACTACATCTTGTTTCTTTTTTATGAGAATGAAAGAAGCTTTACAGCGTGCAGCAGATTACATAACGAGACACAATAGCGGGCTACGTGAACTCAGCTGTCACTTCACGCTTCAGCGACAATTTGTGAGTGCTAATGTTGGCGACAGCGAGGAACTAGAACTTGGATATGGAGGTGGAGCGCCAGGAGGATTCACTCAAGAAGGAAGAAAGAATGGGTCGTGTGTTTTTATGTAATCATATAGAAATTTGTATCGTGAATTGTGATAGTTATGATATCAACACGCAAAGACTCACTGGTCACAGCAACGTGGCGGTTAGATTTGCCCTCGTCGATGACATCCATAACTTCATCGGGGCTGGAGACGAAGCGCTCAGTGCATCCCTGAGGAGAGAAGAAGAAATAAATATGAGGCAGAGATAGTTTCATTGACCTGATGGAGCTCCGATTTTCACCTAAAAGGAGAACAAATAAAGCACAGCTTCCACAAACCTTGACATACGGCACTCTGTTCTTATCCTCGTGCACGGACAAGTTGGTCTTTGTCACTGAAAAACAGAAAAAATTAGATGATATTTAGTATTTTAGAACAAATAACAAATAAAGACATTAGGTTTTTTAAAATCAGTTTTTAATGTATGCAGGTTGTTGTTGTTTTAAGCACTAACCATCCAGAAGATCACGGATTTTGTCCATGTAGATTTCAAAGTAGGAAACCTGTCGGAGAAGAGAAAAAAGAAATGGAACCACTATATAATGAGAGGTCAGCATTTAGGCAAAATTGTTCTTTATTTGGTCTGAGGTAGAGTTATATAGGTGCAGAACAAAATGGAACAAATTAAGGATGAAGGATATAAAGGCCACCATGCAACATGTAAACTAGGGATGCACGATATATCGGCGACCGCATCGGTATCGGCCGATATCAGTGTATATTGGTATCGGTCCGATGAACAAATTTAAACAAACCAATGATTGTCTAACATTAGCGCCTTCGTCTCTACATTTGATATTGCTGCTATTTCGCAAATATTTTTACTTAAATGGTCCTTGTCTTGAACGTTAAATATGTTAAAATATGTTTTACTTTTGAAATAAATACGACTATGTGGTCTAATTTGGGTTTCTTTAAATAGTTTTCACGTTCTCACAGTGCTTACTTATACTTGTTTTTTGGTGTGAACAAAAATTGAATATCGACATCGGTGATATCGGTTATCGGCGATATCAGAAACCTTAATATCGGATATCGGTATCGGCCAGAAATCTTAACATCATGCATCACTAATAAAAACGTAAAACAACCCAAGACACCATCCCATAAAAGTCATCATGTATTGTACCTTGATGTGGAATTCAAGGTTTTCATCCATGGCAAAGATGTGGTTGAAAATGTCCTCAGCGATGCGAGGGATGATGCCCATCTGGTGAGGGTCGTGGAGTTTGCCCTGCAGCCGGGAAGTTACAGACAAAGATGAAAGGTTAATGCAAATCCTTCGTCCAATAATGCCTTTAAATTCCCTTAAAATGTCTGGTGGAGCAAATCAAAGGACAACAAGAGCTTAAGAGAATATGAGAAAATGCAATTTTGGCACAAAGAATAGACAAAATATAGACCAATCATTAAAAAAACAACAAACCAGAGGATTAGGTCTTTTTCTCTGAGACCATATTCCAGCAGAGTAACATTAAAATAGATCTGATCTGTATAAATTATGGAACAAAAGTGTCGTGTAAGATCATTGTTTTTAAAAAATTATTTAATAAATTGCACAAAAAATATGCTGCTGATCGCAAGAATAATTTGGCAGCATACTGACGTGAAGGTCAAATCAAAGAAACTGTTTTGAACTTTGCTCTAAAATCTGTACCTCCATCGTGTGAGTCTTCCCGGAGGAGGTTTGTCCATATGCGAAGATAGTGCCATTGTATCCACACAGCACATCTATGAGCAGCAACAGAACAACATGTGACACAACAGCTTATCTGAAATACTTTAATTTATTAATTTATTAATCCATTCATCCGTACCCTTGACAATTTGCTTGGCGCAGGTGTTGTACACTTGCTCCTGGGTGGTGTTGGTCGGAAACACTCGGTCAAACACGTAGGACTTCCCCTGTCAAGACAAGAAACAAAATTCAAAATCAGTGCTTTATTCAATCTGAGATCTTTTATTTCTTCTATAAAAAGTGTGTTTTGCTCCATAAAATGAACTAAACTGTTGAGGGCTTAGTTATGACAATCAAATGGTGTTCTACAGGAATTTATAATAATCACAAGTACAACCTGACACATAGTCTATACAGTTAATTATTAGAACAGTTCAGTCCCTTTAAAACAGGTCACCAGTGTGGCGTACAGGAGGTGATCTCAGTCCTGTGACGCGATCAGTGACTGACTCATATTCATGTCACTGACCGAGCATAAGATAAATAGAAATGGGTCCTTTAAATGTCGTCCATCTTTGGAAAACGCACATTTATGATTTCCCAATACATTGCCACCACATATACAATCACATATACGGGTCTAAGGATGCACACTGTACAGATTGTAAAACCTTCTGACAGAAAATTTGGGATTTTTGATGTTAGACTGTATAGATAAAATTGACTTGGCACAGTTCACATTTTACATTTTACATTTTTACATTTTTACATTTTCATTCATTCATTCATTCATTCATTCATTCATCTTAAAAAATACATCTTTCCTTTAAGTTTCAGGGAAGCTCCCTATATTATTATGTTTTTTTCTGGTGCAGCAGTTTCCCTGAGGTCTTGTACCAAAGGGATCAATAAAGTTTTATTCTAATTCTAATTCTAATTACAGTTACTTTGGAGATTTTTAGGCTTTTTTTTGACTTGACAGAATGATAAACTAAACTGACTCCAGGTTTGCAACGATTAATATTTTGTTTTTGGTTGAAAGTTTATCAGGTAAGCTCTTTAACATTCCCCCCTAAACGTGATTACTCCTGAGAGGTCAGACAGCTAACAGTGAGGCCATGGAGGAACAATCATCAGATGAAAACATTCAGATGAACTGATATGAGCTGTTTTCTCATGTATGTTAAAACAGCAACACAGCGATCCGAACACGCAGTTATGCAGAATATTCTTTTTTTTTGTGTGGAAGGCTCATACAGCACCGCTTTTATCTTCTGGACAACAAAAGAAGGCGATCAGAGCGAGAGAGAAACAGCCTCTTCAGCTCTCCTTGTTTCTTCCAGCTACTCTGAGCCATATTTCATCCAGGACACGGCAATTTCAGATAACTTGTCAAGGTGAATAAAATGCTGTTTTCCTATTACTGGCTTTATAGCTAACATGGGAACAAAGTCGTATGAAAGTCGTGCCTTTCTTTAATGGGCATCTATCCAGTAAGGTGCTGTTGAGCAGCCTCTCTGGAGCCTCCAGGCGTTTCTCATCACCGCTAATGAGCTTCTGTTACAACAGCATGCAGAACTGAGTGGGTTTACCACAGAACATTTCTTTCATCAGGCTTTCTGGAAAATGGAAACATGTTCAAGGGGTTGTCTGTGTTTATTTGTAGATCTTTCACATGAGAGTTGACCTATATTAATCCTCTAAACCCAAAACGTACCATTGTAGGTCTGAAAGGTTCGTTGTTTTTAAAGAAATCGCCAAAATTACAAAATTTATCAGAGCCAGAAACTGTAAAAACAAAAAGAACTGTAAGATTTTCAATCTCCCAACAGAAAGTGAAGCACTAATCTGTGACATGACCATCTGGTGGGAAACATAATCGAATCATAAAAGCTTAAATTATGATTTTTCATCAAAAACTCTTTATTCTACATGTTTAATTTGAAAATTTGCCCAAAATAAAACATTTGTTTGAACCAGATTCTGTAAAAAACTACAAAAATCAGAACATTTTTGTGCAACTCTGAAGCCATTAGTGATTCAGGAGTCATGTAACAAACATTTTGGGACTTTGGGACTGACACGGAGCAGATAGAAGGCAAGTATGGAAACATATTTTTAAAAATACGTAGCTAAATTTATATAATACGTACAGCAAATTTTAAAAAATAAATAAAAACAGTAGTGGACACATGGAAAAATATACATGATGATTCCATTTTTTTCTCTATTGTTGTAAAATAAATAATCAAAGCAACTCAATTTTAGTTTCTTCGTCTTATGATTTATGGCAGTTTGATGGTGTTTTCTTGCTGAACAGACATTCCTGAGCTCTCTCTGCTTCTTGCTATTACCATGTTGTTTAGATGCAGGACTTTATATTGTAGTGCAACATTAAGGCACAGTGAGTAAACATGTGACAGGAGCTATAAATGCCCAGTTTGCAGGAAAATACGACGCTCCAGTCAGAGTGTTACCTTTCCTTCGCCAAAGACTGGAAACAAGGATAAACTGTTAGTCCGGCTTTGCACAACAAGACCAAAAATCTGCCAGCCAGCGCCTCTAAATCTCACTAGTTAGCATGCTTTAATCTTGTACACATGCGAAAACTGAAATGCTGGTGCGACATGTTGTGTTTTAAGGGAGTTACGTGCTTGGCCTGGAGCAGTGAAGTTGACTTTGACCTGCTTCCTGTCTGTGTGCTCGACAATATTCGAGATAAGTTTGTCAGCTTAACTCTCACAAAAAAGCAAATACATGTATTTCCCACGATCTGAAGCGATTGCTATAAGGATAAATGCTCACATTTTATAGCCATTAATGCACTTATATTCTACTATATGAAAATCCACATGTGTGCACACGACAAGAAATCAAGTCAATGAAAACAGATGAAGCACTGAAATCACTGGAAAGCTCAGTTAAAGGTGCATGTGGGCTATACAGGTTAGATCCTAACTTGTGTTTTCTATATATTTACATATTACTTCCTAAAATAAATCCTCTCTTTCTAAATTACAGACAACCATCCACTGATGAGTGACTCAGCCCAGACAAGCATCGCCAACAGAAACCAGGCCATTACAGCCCTGAATGTCACCGTCCCATCTGATACAGAGGCCACGATGCAACACAATAACTCCAGCTGCCCAGAACACGAGCCGTATTAAATGTCATTAACAAATTGACTCATCTGCTGACCGCCTCCATGACAGAGTGATTTACCAGAGAGACGGAGACGGTCAGTCCCAGAAGTGGAGAGGGAGGGACGGATGTAGGAGGCGCACAAAGAGGCATAAAAATGGAGAATGATGAGCGGAGAGGAGGTGGGGATGAGAGTGGGGGGGAAGACGGGGGGAGGGAAAAACCACAACAAGACGAGAAGCTGAGAAAATGTTCAAGACAAACAGACGGACAGACAGACAGACAGGTGGAGCCAGAGAGAAGAGAAAGCAGGTCAGTGATGCATGAGCTCACTGAAAGATTATTGATCCTCTCTTTAGGCAATTAGAGAGATCAGTTTCTGACTGACTCCAGCGTCGTGCCGAGGAGAGAGGAAGGTCAGGATGGGATGTTTCCATTATTGCTGGAGAAACTTTTAGCATTCTGTACGATGAAAGCCATTCCTCCCCTTTTTTGGTCCTCTGGCTAATCCTCATCCCCTCTATCTTGCTTTTAATCCTCCTTGACACACTTGGCCATGAACAACACATCTGAGGCAGGACAGCCAGCAACATATACATGAGCAGAAATACAGCTGAAACTGATCGAATGATGTTAGATTTCTAACCACAGGTTGTTCTCGTTTTTTACAGGCTCACATGTGGACTATAAATGACAGGATTTAGAGGTGTTTTGGTCAGTCACCACACAGCAGTGGTCAAGCTTTCTGTTATCTAAGACAGCCGAGCAGCAAAACTTCAATTTTGTCAAAAACCTGACAGCGAAGATGGATTCATTCAGTCTGTTTCCAAGACAACCCCTTTCAAGATTTGTCGATATCAGAGCCCTTTGAGTGTCTTTCGTACTGAATAAGGAAAGCTGCTGCCATAAAAAATCCAGAAAATGGGCACAGAATTTGATTACATTAGAATTTACCAATAAAATAATCTTATGACACGGCTCGCAGTGTTGGATGTGAGACTTTATTTTATGAAAACATGTTTTGTTTTTTGTTTTTTGAAAGAAATTGAACTGAAAACATGCTGAATCGTGTACATCTGACTGTATCCATCCTAACAAACGTAAAGCAGGCCTCAGAGTAAACAAGGCTGCTGCATAATCAGACTGGGTTCCACCCTCTTCACCGCTAAACTTCAACATCTGCTACAAAGACCATTCCCTCTGCATCCCTATGTGCTGAACAATAACCCCACAATGAAGCAGAGTTGAATCTCATCTTGCATTTTGTACTAAAAAAGACATTTTTTATTCTTTGTGGCAGCATTAAAAGGAGGATAATGAATGTAAACAACCAGAATGAATGAACTGACTCATGGAATATGAGCCTGTGCCACACTTTGTATTCATTTATGTTAATTTCTATACAGCTACACGTGACTTTAGATGTGTAAATAATAAGGATTAGTCATTATATAGAACATATATTACAGAAACGTGTCTGTTTCTATACAAACGTGCCACAGAAAGCGTGTTTAATGACAATAAAGTGTCAGTCAGCTGATGCAGGAGGCCACTGTGCGCAATTTAACAGCCTCCACAGTGTACTTATGCTTTGTCATGTTGGGGTAAAAAGGGATATGTGTTGGGCTAAAAGCTGATATTCATCTGTGTTGCATCGATTATCGTGCCTTCCGATCTGGAAAAGCCTCCACAGACGGGGGTGAGCTGATGATTTATTGATGGAGAGGCCTTGTGAGCGCACAACAAAAGCGGCTCCCTTCACTTACCCCGACGAGGACCGTGTCATCTCCTTGGAATTTGGGCACAAACTGGTCCCCGCGTATGATCTCCGACTGGTTCAGGGGACGAAAGCGACACAGCACTTTTATGTTGCACTCCGCTGGGACATCGGCCATTGCGCAGATTGGAGGAGGAGGAGGAGGATGATGCTGCTGCTGCTTTCTTGCTTGAGAGGAAGGATGCTGCTGAAGGCTGGGAGGCGATCGGGGCCTGATCGGAAGAGAGATGCGCACAGATTTCTTGTCCTTTGACGCGTAAAAGCCTCAGAGGAGAGGAGAGGGAGGTTTTGTTGCTTCTCTTTTTATCCTGGCAACCTGAAAGAGGCTGCAATTTATTTATGCGCAGCTGGATGGTGTTTCCGTGTCGCAGTGAGGCGGGCAGGCTCAGATTGGATGTTTAAAAAAAACGCAAAACGACCCCCCTACATCATTGAATCAGTCGGCTTTTGGTGGCGATCGCGTCCCTCTGCTGGTTTATTCGGCGCTTGCGTTTGGTCCGTCTTCGCCGCGGTTTGGATGCGCGTCTGGCCGGTTGAAGGTGAGATGCTGCTGGAAGGGCAGTGAGGTACAGCTGCTGTTGATCGGCCTGCTTCTCTCGCCACAGCGCCCCCTATGGGTGGCTCTCGGAAGGGCGTGGCCTGCATCCGTCTCTTTAAAGTGGTACCCACAGCATCACCACCGTCATCATCATCATCATCCACATGAGGCAGAGGCCGGAGGAATAAAGAATAACTTCATTACTTTCTCTGAATCACCACCACATTTGGCCCCCTCTCCCATGCCTGACTGTACTTCTTGGAAAAGCCATTATGGCGATCAATAATCTCCTATTATTGATTAAAAGATGAGTGTAAGGCTTCACCTTGACGGAGCATTACTGTGTTTGGTGAGACAGGATGATGCAGCACAATGTCGAAAATAAAAACACAGGGCCGTGAACATATAAAGTTAGCTGTAAGTAACACTGCAAATACATTTAAGGGGGCACTTCTGAGTTTGTCATAGCCGAAAAAGCACAAGTTTAATTAAAAACTGCATTCATCCATCAAGTACCTGGTGATCAGGCATTCCTCGCTGTCTTGTTTGCAGCTGGTTCCTGGCAACCTGTTAAGTACACAATTACATTTAAGGATAATTCATCCTTTTTTATTATTATTTTTTTAATCCAAGGCTCATGGGAACATTTTTGTAATTTCAACCTTTGCTGCAGCTGCTCCGAAGCTCCAAGCTTCTTCTCCACTGACATTTTTAAGACAAATCTTACGTTTTCAATGACATTTGTTTCTTTTCTTATTGGCCTTCAATTTTAGTTTTCTATATATATTTTATTGGAAACTTTCCAAGCATGATCCTATTTGCCTTGTTTTGATATTTTATTTCATTCTTCTACAAACTGACTGATTTTTGCACTTTTGTTGGTGCCTGTTGGACGTCCTGTACAGCATATTTTGATCAACTCAGCTGAATTTAAACAGTCATTTGATTGTGCAGGGTGCTGCTATGGCAGATGTCGGCTCACTGAGATACTTTCCCACTTGCGTTTTTTCTCGGTGAAGTCCAAGGTCTACTAAACATATACTTTAACAGAAAATAAATCCAGATATATATTTGCACAAATAATTTTAGATTGGACCATGTCAGTTCTTGTCAGTTTAATGAAATGCCCCAAAATAATCCTTATTGTGTGAGAGCTGGAGCAGCATTTCAGTGTCTCTAAAGCGCATCATGACTATTCAGAGCAGAAATCAACACAAGGTACATTTTCTGTAAATAGTTTAATATTAAATAAAAAATGACTCCCATATAAAAAAGAAAGCTACAGTCCACAATTTAATCGTCTTTTTAAACATAAGTATTGAAAGCAAGGGGTAGAATGAGAAAAATACTTAATTACAATTCCCAGAAAAATTCACAATTCATTGTTTTCTCTCGTCTTTCTCTAACAATATAAAATCAAAATAAAACACATTAACTGTACATATGTACAAATCTCCAAGTGTAGAAATTGCATAATCTGCTTTCTTTTTCACTTTTCTTTATTCTTTTTTTTTTTCTTTTTTTTAAATTTTAAATACAGCTAAGAGATGCCAGTACTCTTGGTGGTGGGGGGGGAGACAGGGCAGTGTGTGGAGGAGAGCTCAAACAGTGATATGAGGAGACAGAGGAAGGATATCACTCCAAATCCACAGTAACACACGGACTCAACAGATCCACGTAAGACATCGCTCTCTGCGTTTAAGTATTTCCATCCATCCATTCAACCGATTAAAGGACAAACAGCACCTTTCTGCAAACTCAGGGTTCCTGCAAACACTCCATTGCAAAACGTTATCTCCGTTTCTACACCGTGACCTTGTAGCTGGAGGGTTCTAAGTTGGGGGGGATGATATTTTAAATAAGCTCCATTGCACCGGAGTTGCACGTAATTCTTCAGAGACAAATAACAACACAGCATGTGAAATGTAAAAAATGGGTTTCCAAAATGACAACGATGCTGAAAAGTTGTCCCGGGTTTGCTGTGGAACAAATAACAAAAAATCTCAACATGATCAGATTACTTTCTACGATCTGTTGGGGATCCCTGGTGTGTTTAAACATGACTCGGAGAGTTGCACAGAAGAGGTTTTCTAACGTTTCAACAAAACATCTCACAGGACATGTGGAATCACATCCAATGAATAACTCATTTTCCTGCATGTGATCTGAAACCTGATAGGGTGAACCATATAACTTCCTTGGCTTGTCCCATATAAAGGTTATTTTATACACCAAAAAAAAAAAATCAAGTCTTTTCCTTCTCTTTCAGCACTTTCCGAAAACCTTAGGAATGTTTCTTTGAAATACAACCGCTGTCTCCAAAACACAACCGCAAAAGAGCCCTTAATCTCACTAACAGACAGGGTCTTGTTTACTGAAACAGAAATAAATTCGACAAACGGTCAGACAATAGGGGCTCAGCAACAGCACTGTTGTCCAACACACACTCAAAAAAAACACACAAAAAAGGACACACTCACCCAAACGTGTACAGACACACTTTCAACAGAGAGCATCGTTCAAGTAGATGGGCTTTATCCTGACTCACAGTAACACACTGATGAGAAGAAAACAGTATTCTTTTTTTGTTTTATGTTTTCTCATTGATATAATTCTAACACCAACCTAACTGACAGATCTTTGATCACAATGTCAAGCAACCATTATTTTGTGACCTAAGACCTACAAGAAAACCTAAGTGAAAAAGTATCCACAAAATCTCTCTTCAAATGTTTTTTTTTTTTTTTTTTTTACACTTTTCAAAAATAAATTCATCAGACTAGATCTTTCTCCTATGTGTATTTTTATAGTGGTTGCCACAATGGTTGACATGACAACAGCATCGTATTAGTGCAGTTGATTTTTTTTTTTGTAATTTAAAAAAAAAAAAAAAAAAAAGGTCTAAACAGTAGTGATGAGGGTGGAGAGATGGAGGGGTATAGAAAAGCATCGGGCCGCCTTTCAATGGTGAACAGCTCTGACTGACAGCACCCTCCACCAATCACTGCCTTTGAGACCTGGCGCCTCGTCTCCGTCTGCCGCGCACTGACCTCTCAGGCTTCAGCAGTGCTGTCTGAAACGAGAGAGAGAAAACTCAGTCACATCCGGCTTTTCTTTTTCCAGACCCGAGTGCAAGAATGACTTTAATCCTAACCCTAACCACCGCAGCTAGAACTGTACATCATTCCTAGATTCTCAGCGTGGAGCAGAAACTTGTCTCTTCAGCAAATCCTTTGTATACTTAACCTTTCACAGTGGTACAGTGTAAAGGACACAATCCTGCCCCTCAGGGCTGCACTGATTCAGTCTATTGTTTTCAGTATTTAAGAAGCTGAACAAAACAACCTCCCCACCTTATAGGATCATCTTTCTCAACTGCTGGTTTGAAAACCAAGAATGAGCTTTGAAAATTAGCTCAGAGGAGTTTACTACGAAGCAAGATTAGTGGTTTAGCGAGATATGCTGAGCTTAAAATCAGAGTTTTCAGCATCACAAAGGTTTCTTTTTTTAAAGTTATTTTTTTTGGCCTTTATTGGATAGTGCAGTGAGAGAGCGACAGGAAAGTGGGGGAGAAGAATGGGGGGAGGACGTGTGTGAAACGGCCATGAGCGGGATTTGAATTCATGACCTCCACATCGGGACTGTAGCCCTGTACATGGGACGCCAGCTCAACCAGGTGAGCTATAGCGGCGCCCAAAGGTGTCTCTTATGTAAGCTGCTAGATCACACTGGTAACCGGTAACACTGGCTGCACAACTAACCTGCAGCAGAGAAGGTTCTGATCAGCGATTTAAATTGTCTGTAGGACTCACCATCCTTTCACCAACTCCTTTCCAGATGATATTTTCTATAAGTGATACAGATTCTCAGCTGAAGAAACACACTGAGGCGTTCAACATTAATGCCACTGAGTGACATCATGTAGATACAGAATGCGTTGCACAGCAGTGTTTGTGTTCTTCGTCCTGGTTTGCTGATTAATCAGTTTTACAATGCTAATGTTGCAGCTAATAGAACGCAGATTGTAAAACTTTTTAGCCTATTGATAATTTTCATTGAGAATATTCCATCAATAGCATTACTGTTACTTTGGCTTGAAAAAAAGCAAGTAAAGAAGGTTCCATGTATCCTTGGGTAAACAAATTAAAACACCTTCAATCATGGTTATTTACATAGGTCAATTAAATCATTTACATACATCAATTAAGCCAAAGGAGTAAAATGGCAGCTACTTGATATTAAACAGTGCTCGGTGCTCCACAATCATGCTAGCAGCTTTGTTATGTTGTACTGAGCTAAATACTAACGTCAGCATCCTAATATTATCACAACAATGCCAACATACTAATGCATAGCAGGAAACATATTGTTTAGTTCATCGTGTATGCATGCTATCTTTTGCTCAAAAAATAAAGCAAAAGCAGATCCGATAACTGTTGGGACATTTCATTCAAAACCACAAATGTGAACCTCATGTTGGGCTACAGAAAAGTCATGGGATCAACTAAAACATGTCAAGCTGTTGGAAAGTAACAACAGAAAATTCCAACAACTAGGGGAAAACAAGACTTTTGGCGTAGAAACAGTTGGTCTCAAAACACTTCAATAATACTACCAGTGCTGCTGATAATTAAAACAATAGATCTGTAAGTCACGTAAGGGGGGAGCTGGGTCTTACTGTAGCCTTGGTTTCCTCTAGTGCTGTTGCATCCATGTCTCTGAAGTCTTCTAACACATTCTGTAGCCTAATAAATAAAGAAACACATTAATAACACTGTAGAACCAAATAAACCTGATAGAACAGTCGCAGTGAAACATCAGCAAAACGAAAGGCTCATTTGAGTCACTGATTTTTACTGGAAATTGATTTTAGTCAGGCGATTCCCTCTCCGGAGTAGATATGAGAAATGCAAAGGCAACTTACGTTTGTTTCCTTTTCCTTCCTCTTCTGGCTCCACCCGCAGCTTCTGCTTGATCCTACAGAGGTAGAACCAGAAATTATATGACAAGAACAGAATTGATCTGACTTAAAACACAACTGTTTTAGTTCATCACAATGCTACATCCCTCTGTTTTTACAGTCCAAACCAAAGCTCAAATTCTGGTCTCAGCAGGATGATGATGCCGACCCGATCTGTTCTAGGAGTTTGAAGGAAGCACTAAACTCATGACTTACCATTCCCTGTTCGTTGTGCAGCAATGTCCCGGCCGTTTCCTCACTGGGCCTCCCACTGCATCCATCCCTAGGACTGAGGTACCCTGCATGGGGAAGATGCCCCTGCCTATCCACCTCTGCCTCTACATAGGGGCACACAGCTGCAGCAGGCCCCGTACAGTCTGTCTTTGCCTCCTCCAAGTATATGGGTGGCAGAGGAGGCTCTGGGTGAGTATGTCCCTCTACCATGACTGTTTTCCTTTGCAAGGGTGACGTAGAGCCATCCTCAGTGGGTTTGGGGGTCCCCTGGGCTGGGGAATGAGCTGCTGCTTCCAGGTTGAGTCGGGATAAGTCCGGGTTGCGGAGGGAACAAGCGCGACGTGGGCTGAGGGAGACTGGGGCACTTGCCTGCGGTAGAGTTGGGACAGTGGTGGACGGGGTATGGTGCTCCACAGGGAAAGAAACCGGCGGTAAGGCACAGAAGGGTGAAGTGGGGTCAGATGGCCCCAAGTGGGCCCCGTCTTCCTGCTCTTTAGCACTGACTTGAAGGAAGGAGGTATAAATCGTGTCCATGAAAGAGGTGTAAGGATCAATAACAGACCTGCCCTCAGATCCTCGTTGAGTGGGTGGGGGGGATACTTGGGCAGGAGCTGGAGCGAGAGCTGGAACGGGACTTGGGACCACTTCAGGAGTGATTTGACTGGCTGGTATGTCTTCCTGTGGGGCAGGGCTTTGGGTTTCCTGCAATGAGACTGGCTTCTCTCCTTCTGTGGCCGGTGCAAGGTTTAGCTGGTGGAAAAAGAAACGCAAAATGTAAAACTGATGCAGTCAATAACGGACAAAGATTCCAAAAGAAACATTACTGTGCTTTCTCCTTGATGCAAAAGAATCCAAAGACAACTATCCACACTTCATACATATATTTAAAGTTTGTGATAACCAGACAATCTATAACACCCAGAAAAAAACTTTAAAATGTCAACTTTTTGGCCCTGATCCAGATCTGAATCCTGTAGCATTTACTAATACTGAATCCAATCCCATACAGCTGATACAATCTGGTGCTGTAACTTTCATTATTTTAACCAGGGAAAGTGATGGCGCTACTTAAAGAGGCTGCAGCCGTAATGTTTTGTACACTGCTCTTTGCTACAGAGAAAGACCGAGTCAAAGTCTAGTGAATCCATGTGGGATTATTTTCTAGTCCTGCTGTCAGAACTCATGACTCATACACTCACACAAGTGTGCATGAAATTAACTCATACTCATATACTCAGCAAAGTGTTTGAACTTACAGTCAGGTTGTCATGGAGGTTTTACAGCAGACTGACCAAACACAGTACGGAGTACAGTAAAGCAGATGTGTTTTCATATGCTCTAAATTCAGCAAACTCCATTCCAGTTATCTACCTGAATGTTGTTGAGCAGGTTGATGGCTCCATCAGGGCCCTGCAGCAGTGGCATTCCCAAAGCAGAGGCCTGGACTGGGGGTAGGAGAATGGAACCAGCTCCAATCCCCAGCATGTTGTGGAGGCTTGTGATGCCAGGAAGATCTCCTACAAAGACACAATACACAGATGCACTGATATATGTGCTTACTGCTACAAAACCCCTACTATGTGTGAAGTTTAATACTGCAAAGACACATTTTATTTCTTCCTAAGATAATCAGGAAAAACAAACAGGGCGACAAGGAACTCACCTAAGATAGCAGGGTTAAGCAAAGTGGGCAGTAACTGTTGGAGGATGGGGTTGTCCTTGCCTTGGAGAGATACAGGGATCAGGGTGTCAACACCAGCATCAGTAGGTACCTGAAGAGTAGAGCAGAGCAATGGAAAGGAAGAGAGTTTTAGAGACAAACTAACAGTCAAAGATCAGGTGGAGACAGAAAAAGAGAAATACTTTACTTTTTGAAATGCAAAAATTAAAACTGAAATATAGCCAGAACAGAGTTCTGCCCTGATTTGGCAAGAAAATGAGGCATGATCAGCATTATAAAAAAAAAAAAAAAAGACCTGATGATCTGAAGGATGCAGGAACAATTACAGCTATTTTGCAAACACTGAACAGAGCCCCCTTTCCCCCCATCACTGTGAAACAAAAACAGTCTACAGGTTTCATTTAAACATTGTTTTTTTTTTAGTAGTAAAGGAAATTCACTGATTAGTTTTTGAGGAAATGGGGCAACTAACACAGCAGAAAACAATGGAGCAGCTAAGGAAATGAGCTTCTAGGTTTTTTGGAGAAACTAGGAAGAGCTCAGAGGAAAGAACTATTGGAGGAAGGGAGCCTACCTGAGGTTGGGCATGTTGGGTTTGCTGTGCAGGAGCTAACTGGGTGTTGGGAGGAGGGTGGAGCTCAGCAGCGCTCAGGGCAGCAGTGAGCAAGGCAGGGCTGAGGGGCAGGAAGGCTGCAGGGTGAGGAGGAAGAGTGGCAGGGAGAAGCAGAGACTGTAGGGCCTGGATAGAGCCCTCAGCTCCTGCAGGAATGGGAAGAAGGCCCTGGGTGACTTCCAGGAGGCCCGGCCCTGTCAGGGTGGATGGATCCAGGAGACCAGAGGTCTTATCCAGAGTGAGGCCCTCCAATGTGGCAGGGATCTGCTGAGACTGCTGGATAGGAACTTCCAAGCTGACCTGGCTCAACTGACCCAGTGCAGACAGAGGTAACAAAGAGGCCTGCTGTTGCCCGAGTAACAAGGACGCCATAAGAAGAGCCTGAAGGCTAGGTTTTTCTGTTAAATCGGCTTCTTGTCCTGCAGAAGAGGCTGGGGCTGGGAGCGGGTTTAGCAAACCCAAAAGGTTCAGTGGCAGCTCCCCTTGTGTACCACTCAACAAGGGCAACAAGGGAAACAGAGGACTGTTGGTAATCTGCTGTTGCTTCTGTTGTTGATCTTGGTTTTGCTGCTGCGTGTCTTGTTGTTGTATCAGTAACTGCTGCTGCTCTGACTGCTGCTGCTCTGCAAGATTCTGTGGTGGTTGTGGTGTAACATTAGCAGGTGGTATCTGGGCATGTTGCCCTCCCAACCACAGTCCTCCTAGGGGCAATGAAGCCAGGACTGTGGGGTCCAGGAGAGATGGCAGGCCTCCTGTGGATGACAGCAGCTGAAGCAGCTGCTCTTGGTTCATGAAGGGGAAGGCTTCTGCCAGAGGTAAGGGAGCGGTTGAGTCCACAGTTGAAGGGGTATGGGGACTGTGATCCTCTCCTTGGCGAGAGGAGATCGTGAGTCCAGGACTGGTGGCTGCTGGGGGTTTGTTTAATGCGGATGCCTTTTGGTCCACATATCCAGGTTCCTCTGGTCCTGTTGGAAAGACATGAATTATTCACCTCTCTGCAGGCTGACTTATCAATTGGTTAAAAAAAAGTATAAAAGGATTTTGAACTGCATGGCATTCATTGTTTTACAAACTATAGGACTGTTGTGTTGACTCGAACACAGAACTGAGCACTGATAGTTAACTGCAAAACACCATACAAGAAACAAAAAGAAAACAAAGTCTGCATGTTTTTTCCTGAACAATCCTAAGACATAGAATGACTTATAAACCCTGATTTAAAAGGGGAACTTGTGGCCACAAATGTAGTTTGCATTATTCGAATTTGAATGAGCAAAATCCAATGAGAATTTTGATGTCTATATGGGTTCATTTTCTGTACATTCAAAAGACTCTACGAACCACATAACGTCTGTAAACATGCAAAAACGTAAAAGTTACATATATCATATGTTTAGACTAAAAAATATCATTCAGACTGAATATTTACCTGCAGTATGATTTCCTGGGGAAGACATCTCAACATCAGTGGTATGGTTAGAGGAGTTGCCCTCCCCCTGGGGCACAGTGGAGGATGCTGCAAGAAGGGCCAGGACATGGTTGCTAAGATCGAGAGGCTTTGGGGAAGTGGATATCCCTATAGAAACACTGCCTTGAGAATGACTCAGGTCCATTGATGCAGATACGCTGGTACCAATCTCTGTTGCCACAGTGCATTGTGGTGAGGCTTGTAAAGATGCCTGGGAAACAGAGTCTGTTGTAGGAATGTGATTATCAGTTGGTTGATGTTTGTCAAAAGGAGATGGGGACGTCTGCTGAGATGGGCTGCTGCTATTGTGGAAAGCTAAATTTGAGTTGGGAAGCACTGTACAAGGAGAATCTCTTTTCAGAGGACTTGATTTACGAGACTGAGGACGAGACTGAGACTGTGATGACGTGAAGTGAGAGGAGGTTGGTGGAGGAGAAAGTTGCTGCGGCACCAAGGGTAGAGGATTAGTGTTATCTGTTCGGCATGGTGACCGAGTCTGTGGGTGCCTGACATTAGAATGAAGGGCAGGAGAAGAGGGTGACAGCCTGGGGCTCTGTTTCTTAGTGTGTCCACCTCCTTCAACAGACACGGATCCTGACTGAGCTGATGCAGAGCTAGATGCTGAGGCTGTAGCCTGTGCATTCTGTACACTGAGAAGGTGTAACAGAGCAGACAGAGGCTGGGTTGGAGGATCCAAGCCAAGAGGTGGAGGTGTTAGGCCCGTAGTGAAATCCAGAGCCTCGTTTGGCCGAGGAGGCCTGGAAAGGTGTGCTGTCGGTCGAGGAGCAGGAAGCCTGGGCATCTGCCCAGGCAGGAGTTGAGGATGGTTATCCAACATGACAGCATTCTGGTTCTGCACAGCTGAGGTAGAGGAGGAGTGCGAGGAGGAGGAGGGGAACGAAGATGAAGAGGAGGAAAGGTTGATAACTGTAGCAGTAACGGTATCCTCTGGTGGGGTCTTCCGCGGCCCATTAGCCAGCTGCTGGGTGTCTCTTAACATACTGAGGACTGTGGGAGATCGCCGTTGCCTCTTCCTGTGCGACGCATTCCGCTCTGCTGTGGGAGGCAGGTGGGGCGAGGAGGAAGCCAGGGACTGGACCAGAGAGTGGGATGGAGGAAAGAGGGCGGCAGAAGCTGCTGCGAGGGAGGGATGGGGAAGCCTAGTAGAAGCAATGGAGGAGGGAGAGTGGCTGTTATGTAAAGTGCTGTTTGTTACCTTTGATGACTGTTGCTGCTGTGCCTCTTTCAAGACCTCCAGAGAAGAGGGCAAGCTCCCTGCACTGCTGGCCACATTTGAGCTCTGGCCGTGGGTTATCTGGTTAGCCAGCTGAGCTTTGGCAGCTGCAGAGAGCAAGCTGCTTGCGGGGAAAGAAGCTGGGTGTGACAGCTTGCCCTGATGGCTATGATGGTGGTTCAGAAATGGCCCCAGAGGTAAACTAGAGGGCCCTCCAGAGTTCAACCCAAAACCTGGTGTTCCTGCACTGGAGGTCGGAGTCATCATACTCTTTGAGGCCTTCGAGGAGAGCGCATGAGGGTTACTGCTGCTTTGGTTGGTCATTAAGGAGGGGTTAGTAGGGTTTAGGAGGTGGTGATTATTAGTGCTGCTGTTGCCTGAGTTCTTAAACTGCTCCAAGATGTCTTCTAGCTTGTACTTAGGGAAGTGGGGGCTGGGGTTTGGGGATCCACCGGGGAGTGGGGAGTGTGGAGAGGAAGAGGTGGATTTCCTCCTCTGAGGCAAGTTACTTCCCATCAGACCTCCTCCTTCTGCTACTGTGGAGCCTCCTCCCGACTCAGACAGGGAAGAAGGAGAGGCTGAAGGGTGGCGGGATCGCTGGTGAGGAGACAAACACATGTTATGGACAGAGGGTGAGAGGGAGGGAGATGGGGAGAGGGGGGAGCCACCCATGATGACAACATGAGGATGATGAGTCTGTGCTCCTCTTCCTCCTCCACCAAGGGTCATAGGGGAAGAGGGAGGAGGTGAAGAAAGGGGTCCTAGCCGAGGAGAGCCAGGAGTCTCTGGGGTTTTGGATGTTCTTTGACCCTGACTGATGTTCTGAGGTGTGGGGGTGCGGGGGGACCTCTGGGAAGTACTGTAAGCTGGGAATGAGGAGCTGGAGGAGGAGCAGGATGCTGTGAGAGGAGGATGGTGAAGTCTTCGTAAAGCATCTAGGGGATGGTGAGAGTTTGTGCCTGTGTGAAGGACAGGGGAGGAACCATTGTACGGGTAAATAAAATGGTGGGAGGATTTGGGGCTGGCACAGGGGTTCGGGTGGAGGTTGTTGTGGGGTCGAGCTGGGACTGGATGGAGTTTTGGATAGTAGATGCCACGGTCCTCTTCTTCACGCTCTGCGTGTTCCCCCTTTGGATCACGGCTGTCCACTCGACTGCTCACCTCTGGAGGTGGAGAGATACAAATGCCGCAACTTGTTACTTCATTTACTTTCAGAAAAGGACTACTGTATGACTGATAAACTAATGAATGCGACTGACAAATCTCAAGTCTTTATTCAATTGTCAGGAAAAACACTCTGATCTTTGATGCTATGAGCAAATGGGGTGCAATCTTTTAGCCATGCAGGGTATTAGGAATGTGATTTATACAACCAAACACCAGCTGAAGAAACTTATTGTCCTATTATCTCACAGTAAATAAAAACATGTATGTATCCACGGAAGAAGAACATGTGTCGACAACTGCAATACAAAAGTACACAAAAATGAAATGGCTTCCACAGGAGATAATATAAATCTTTAAAAGAGAGGAGAGTGGAGTCATGAAATACAAACAAGTGAGCTCAATATGTGCACAAATGCAGCAACACAATGAAGAACACAGAAAAGGCTTGGGTCAGCAGCAACTCCCCAACAGCACATGTATGTTTAGATCATACATTGCACAGCTAAATCATTGATTACAATCCTGCACACAGTCATGAGGGTTGTTTAGCATCTGAATACTGCACACAGTGGTGTGAACACCACAGTTGATATTTGTTGAGTCATAGTCGTTTCACCCACTGGACCAGTTCAGACACAGACGAAAAGTTTTGACGTGCTTGTGATTTTTCAACACTGTATGGCAGAGCTATGGTAAATGCACATCAGCAAGCGAGTAGAAGTAGGAATCAATTAAAGAGAAACGTGTCTTGACATGGATTTTGCCTAAATAAAAACAGGCTGATGTGGAAAAATGATAGTTTAATGTACTGACAGACATGAATTGCAGAAACACAACATGTACTTATTTTCAAAGTTTGAAGTTCTTCACTATTAAATTATCAGCAGAGACAAAATGTTTCAGTGTGCAGTACATTGGCTTCAATTTTGTGTGGCTGACAGCTGCTGCACTGACCAACACGTAAGACAAAAAGGTCTACATGGAATTAATTTTTTCAATCCCACACCTGCTCCCACAGGATTTCAGGATCACTGTCTGCTCATGCAGATGCCCCGACCCACTCCCACGTGTATCTCACAATCACTCACATCTCAGTGATGTTTCCTACAGAAAATCTGTCTGATCATTTCTTCAGGGAAGGAAACACATATTTATGTTTCTTGCCGGGTTTTGCTTGAATCAGAATAAATTACATTTTTTCATCTGCATGTTATGGGTTTTGTTGCCTTTTTTCTAATGTTCATTCTTGTTCATGTAATTATACAAAGGCCCTAATAAAAGTTAGCAAGAAGAGAGAGACAGAAAAACACACAAAGAGAGGACTGGTGCACGAAAGAAAAGAGGATGGAAGAAGAAGGCGGAAAATTAAATGGATGTATGGAGGCAGCATCTCAACACATCTGCCAGGAAGTTAAATCTTGGTTGCAAATGGGTCTTCAAGTCAACAACAAGATCAAGATATTGTCCTCAATCCAACACAATATTTGTGGGCAGCAACTGAGAAAGCATGTGTGAGCATGGAGGCCTGCAAATCTGATCCAGTTACACCAGTTGTGTCAAGAAGAAGGGGAACAACTCAAGCAACTTGTTGTGAGAATCTTGTGGAAGGCCACCTTAAACATTTGACCCAAGTTAAACGTTCTAAAGGTAACGACACAAAATACTAGCAAAGTGTACTTAAATTTCTGACATACTTGGAATGTGACAAAAGACATAAAACCTGAAAGAAATGCTTCTCTCCCCCAGTATTCTAACATTTCCCATTCTGAAGCAGTGTTCCTAAATGAACTGAGACATGGAATGTTTACTAGGATTAAACGTCAGGAAATATGAAAAACTGGGTTTAAATGCATTTGGCTAAGGTGTACGGAAGCTTCCGACTTCAACTGTACAGACATGGTTAAGCCCGATAATAACAGCCCTTCATTCTTTCACAAATGAAATTTAATCTCCGATTTAGCATGAAGATGACAACATTAACTCTGCATTCTTACTCACGTAGCAAATTTGTGGTGGATCCTGCAGGACCTGCAAGATCTTTGTCTCATTGAAGTCTTGTACATGGGGGTACTATTGTGCACAGGGCACACTCAGCACCAACATTTAATGATTTTGTAGAGCAGACATGAACTGGTGACACCTTACAGACACTTCATTCACACCAAAATTAAAATGAACCTGTCCTTCATGATGCTGTTCAGCATTTTTTAAAGTAAATCTGTAGAAATTAGTGTAGATAAATGTTAAAACTACTTGTCTGTGATGTTTTTGAATAACGTCTGAGTGCACAGAGATGCAAGAGGAGGTTGTCTAATATAATGTGTCTCCACTTTTTTAATTTACCTGGATGATGAAAGTTGGCAAAGGGAAGCTGTGAGGCCTGCATACTCCGACACAGAGCAGCCATCGCCACCACTTTCCTGCGGTGATTACACAGTTTGGTCATGTCCTGCTCTGTTTTGCCTAATGGCTGGCTGTGCTGTTCCACCTTCACGCCCACAGTGAAGTTGAAAACCTGCAAGATAAAAGATAAAAGTCACAATTCAAAGAGAGCTCTATGCATAACATTTAATCAAATGTAGGACAGCTGACAGCACCGATGCAGGTATTTTACATTCTTGTGAGGATACTCACCAAGCAAAAATGGGCAAAACTAACCTGGACAAGTGTGTTCCAAGAGAATATACAGTCTGCACCATGTTGCATAAATACGTGTATGTGAAGTGCACATTCGTCAACAGAAGTCTTTTACTTGTGAATGTGCACTCCCAGAGGAACACTAGGTCCGACATCAAAGGGCTCATTACAATTGTAAATTCAGAAGGTTAAAGAAAATATGGGATATATATATATATATATATATATATGTGTGTGTGTGTGTGTGTGTTTATGTCAAACCTTACCACACACACAAAAACATACACAAAGCAAACCAACTTCTAGACTGGCCTTACCTTATGGATGATGAGTGGGCACTCCAAACCACATTTGCAGGTGCCATCAGTCAACAGATAGGTCTTGACCTCATCCAGAGTTGACAGGGCAGTGCCACTGGGACTACAGGAGGGAGGCAGGGAGGAATAAGACCAAATGAGGAAGAATTCAGCACTTTTAGCCATCTGCAAGACTGCAAACTGCAAACTGAAAGATGTGGTGTTTTGCTTTATTAAAAAAACTCTGCAATCACATTTTGCCTATGGCAATTAAAAAGAGAACACAGTTAATAGAAATAGAGATTTAAAAAAAAGAAAAAAGATAGTCCCATTTCAGAAATCTTACCACTCCAAAATGTTCAGTATCCATAAAGTACAATTTTGAAAAAAAAAGTCTGAAATTAAACTAAAGTCAAGTAACCAATTGTGCAGTGCTCACAGGATACTTGTGGTGATGACACCGTAGCCGTAGATGAAGACTTTCAATACCACAGTGTCATCTGTTTTCTTTTTTGGCTTGCTAGTGTGCTGTTTTTAGCTTACAACTATTCTGTGTTATTGCTGAAATCTAAATGAGCTGTTTTCATATTATAGTGCAGCTTATACAACATTCAAACTTCTCTCCATCCAGCTAGCTTGTATATTACTCTAAAAAGCCAAGGGTCAAAAAAACGTCATATTTTACTCAGCTTCATTTTGAGCAATACCCACTGTTTGACTAAATATTTGGTTTCAAACCAAAATGCCCTCTTCTGCCCTGAGCAGGCCAAAGTAATTAAGCGAAAGGAAATTCCTTGTACAACACAAGAGGAGGTCTGATCCTCACTGCGTTACACCTGCATTGTTAAGGTGCTCTTGAAGATAACTGATCACAGCAAAGAAAAGGAAAGTGTTTATTTTAGGCAGTGTAGGGCAATGAGAAGTGATAAAGGCCTTATTTAGATGAATATTTTTATATTTTTGTTGACACCCTGACAAAGACCCAGTGTGACTAAACAGATCGGTAATTTAACTAATAGGCCTGACTAACTGAAGGATTTTTATAAATCTCCTCTCCTTGCTTTACCTATAAGTGCCTCTGAAAAAAAAACTGCATCTTTATGCAGATTTCAGACACAAATCCTAAGTAGAAGAGCCTTCAGACAGTGTCGTCCTCCGCCAAGGCAGCTTCCCTACCTCACAATTTCAAAGAACGTTATCTGGAGCCACACCAAAAATTTTTATAGGTTCTCCGTTTTCCTGTGATCTACCTCTCCACTAAATCTCATGAAATTCTGTCGGGTATTTTATTTTTTTCTTCTTGCTGACAGACAACAAACGCCACTGCACTGAAATCCTATTTCCGCCACAGTTTCCACCTTGGCAGCTGACAAAGCCACAAACATTTTTCCATGCTATATCCCTCCAACTATCTTGGCAAAACCAGCATTCTCATTTATCCAGAATAAATGATGCAGCAAAAAATACATTCACATGTACACAGTTATTCATTCATGTTCTCCTCAAATATTCATAAACCTCAGCAACGAGGCTAAATGTCTTTTTGTTTAACGCACCTGACATAGATCACCTGCCCTCCTTCCACTCTCCTCTGCCAGCCGATGGGGACGTGTATTGCAGCTGTATGGACCCCATCCTTGTCCCCACTGACAGTCTCGCTGCCTCCCATCATTTTGTAGCTGCGGCCTGCCAGCACCTTGGAAAAGCAGCGAAGTGTTAACACGTCTTTTCTTCTCAAAGATTCTATTGTGGCGATTTTGCCTTTATTTGACAGCGTGCAGTAAAGATAGACAAGCAGCGTGGTGATAGAGAGCAGACAGGCAGTAAAAGTCGGGCCGGCCAAGAGTCAAACCGGGAACCTCACTGATATGGGTGTTTTAGCTCATGTGGTATGCACCTCTTCACATCTTTTCTTTAACCCCATACAATGAAGCTCAGCAAAAGTAAAAAAAAAAAATACATATTCCTTTTGGAGAAAAATAATTCTTCTGTCTTTGTAAAGTCAGCGTCATCGCCTAAATGCTTTTTGAGTCATTTTTTTAAGGTTAAAAACATCTTACAGCAGTGGTAGCATTTAGAAATGAATTTTTCTTGTATTATAGGCAACTGAATGTCACTTTGATGCCACTTTACCACTGTTTATAACATTCAAGGTTGATACCAAGCTTTAAAATATTCAAGCTGACTTTAAGATTATGGCCAAAAGCCAGCAAAAGGTCCCCACTTGCTTGAACTTCTTTATAAAGTATATGCAGCTATAGTTTGTCGCATCACTGTCGTTTGTCGAGCCTCTGTCAGTCACTAAATAAGCATACACACAAGGATTTAGAAAATGTGTCTGCAGCCAATTCCCTACAATATCAATGTTTTAATTAAAGCAACCTGCTCATCAAATGTGTGGGTCCCACTCAACTTATTACACAACACCAAATATCAATGTCAGATTTCATGTACTGCGCTAATTCAAGTCAGTTACTGAGACCTAACTTTCCAGTTGTCTTCCACACACTGAAAAAGGTTTCGGAAAATACCCGACATTTGCTTTTCTTATGCCTGTGTTACATGCTGTTGTCTCTATTGTTTAAAACTCACAGTGTTATGTAAACATATCACTACTGGGTGTGGCAAAAGAATAGTATTTTGGTTTACTGTTGCAGTTATGTAATAAAAAAGAAGACAAAGTGAAGAATAGCATGCAGCATACCTTGTCATCTTTGGGAAGCCAGGATCTGTTTTGGCTAGGGTATCCACTGTCCACAGTACATGCTGGTGGGTTAGAAGCACACAGACTGCCAGCAAAACCTGACTTGTCCAAACACCTGAATGTTGTTCCGCTATGAGGCAGATCCTCAGTTTTACTCCTACAGATTTTATTTGCTCAGTTCACATCAGAGTAGGGGCTTGGATGACGATGGAGAGCCTGCAAAGAAAGGTGGAGGTGGATTATGTAATCTGGCAGGGACGACCACGGTAACTAACTCATGCAATTAGCCTTTCTTGCAAACTCATCTGATGCGAGCACACTTCAAATGTGATCACATCAAATGCATGGCTCTCTCTGAAAGAATACAACTTCAGAACAAGCTGAGGCCACTTTGAAGTAGGAGGGTGTGTTTGGCTAGGCCCGGGATTCACTGAACGTTTAGCTACGATGCAAGCACTTGCTTTTCTAGCAGCAAACTCAGCTTCATAGTTGAACCAATTTCTACACACATGTAGTGTGCAGCCATGGAGCAATATCCCACTAACTGCACGGTTGATACACGGCAGCTAGCGTCTGGGCTAACAGTTAAGCTAGCAAGCTACCCTACTTTGTACTATGTTGTCGTGACAGCTGTCAGGCGCACAAAACACTCCGATGCAAAACTCTTGCGTGTTAGCTGCGGTAACAAGAAACGACCCAATGCACAATACTGCTTCGCCAAATAAAACTGCATGAATTCGACCACCGGTTCCCACTTACTTATTGATATCCGTTAGCTAACGTCTGTATTAGCAGGACCAACCGACCGTTCAGTGCGTCAGGCTCCGTGTTGGCGAAGTTTTGGAGTCTTCGCTTTTCTGGCTCGCGGGAGAATCAAGAGTTAGCTGGCTAGCTAACGGACTAGCCGGAGAATGTTTTGAAAACGGTTGATACTTTAAGAAATAGCCGTGAAATAAATCGTTACATAATCCAAATCACGCCCCGGCGCGGGCAATCAGCACTCAGCATTTATGCGACGTCTGCCAGTCTGATTTAAAAACAAAGGGCAATAACGCTTCATTTTACTGCGCCTGGGATCTCGGGGCTAACGCTATCGGCTAGGCTAGCTAGCAGAGCTAAGTGACTGAAATTTACTTGATTCTGGAGTGTCCCAACAAGACTGGAGGATGTCCCGCTCCCGGTCCACCGCTATCCAGCCGTTGCTTTGGTCTCTATTCTGCTAAACCGTGTAGCATTCAAATGTATTCCGACAATCATAACGACCCATGTAATCCCCAATTCACAGTTGCCCACTGTTTTTTTTTTTTTCTTACAAATTCCGAGCAAAAAAATAATGGAGTTTTCTGCCGGGCATGCGCACTCGGTGCTTAGGGAATATTGTACCCGACATGCAACGGGACCTTTGTAGTGCTCCAGACAGACATGAGTGCAGTGTGGAGCTCCTTGATAGAGGACATGATAATGACAGAATAATAACAGGCCCGGGATGCATTATTGTTCCCCTCACAATCACATCCACCTGAATCTGTAGGATTTTAATTAAGATAACACACCAAGACGCAAAAATGAAACGTAGACGAAAAAAACAAGCAATGTATTTTTTTGAAGTATAACATTTAATAATGCATATATTCTGTCAGTAAAGCCCCAGTGAGGTGTTGTGAGAATCCTGACACAATGGAGGCTCACTAGCTTAGCAGTCTTTATGCTTAAATCTGATCATTGCACCATATTCAAGTTATTTTTTTAAGTATAACATTTATTTTTTTGTACTTTTCCGAACAGTAAAACAATGCTATAATTAAAAAAAAATAAAATAAAATATTAATAAAAACTAATAGCATTAGTTTACTTAAATGTAAATGTTTTAAGTATAACTCTTTTTTTTTTTTTACTTTTACAAACAGTAAAGTAAAATCCCAACATTTTTGATCAACTATATAATATCAGAATCAGAATCAGCTTTAATGGCCAAGTACGTACACAACATACAAGGAATTTGGTTTCGGCTGTTGGTGTCGCCCTAGGAATTTGCATGAATAATAGGAATAGGAAAATTTAAAAAATAAAGTAAAATAACTACAGAAAGAAAAGAATAAAATAAAATACCATAAATATTAATTAAAAAATAAAACAAGATAATAAGACAAATATATACAAGAATTTGTTTTTATATTATTTATTTAAAGGCCTTAACACATTACAGATAAAACATCAGACACTTAAATTGAAGCAATATCAGTATCATTTGCAGCATTACTTTTCTCAATGCTTTTTGCGATCGTAGTGTCTGTATGATGTATAACATTTAAGTTCATGACATGTACAAAACGCAATGTGCAATATTATTTAATATTTTCATTTCTCAGGTGCAATATTTCCGTATAATATTGTATTATCATGTGTAATGTTTTCTTTTCATTTACAATTTTTTGATTACATGTGCAATATTTTACTTTCATGTACAGAATTGTGACTGTAATGTGCAATATTTCATTTTTTTGTTTTTTATTTTTTACTTTCATTTATAGATAGCCTTATTTTAGCTTACATATTTTATTTAATTCCTTGTGTTATGTCATTTTGTTTTTTCTGAGCAATATCAGGCACGAGAATTTCCTTCGAGGTTAATAAAGTTTAATCCTGTCTTATCTTATTATTGCAGACACCAGTATATAGATCCCTTTTTAAAAAATTATTATTCTTTTGTTAAAATACAAGCTAATAAAATTCTTTGGATCCAACATTATTCATAAAATATTCAGGGCCATAGCCTTCGGATGCCCTTAATTTCCTCTTTGCCTCAAACAATTCTTTGTCTTCTTTTTTGGGGTCCAGGATAGATTTTTGTACCTCTCAGAATCACATCCACTCTTCTTGACACATTTGGGGCAGAGCCTGACTCAGCAGTATTTATATTTTAACCTGATAATTGCACCATTTTCATGCTGCTTCATGTGAAAGACACTGTGCTACAGGCAAAGTAAGGTCATCCTACTTTGTTTGTATGGTCAGATTTAAAATCACAGTGACTGCAGGTCAGCTATATTAGTAGTTGTCTGTGTGCTTTTGAATTATTATTATATAGTAGTAGTATTGTGTTATATTTTTATGATCTACAGAGCTTCAATAATATGTTAAGGAGTGCCTTGAAAATAACTGCTTTCATACATTTATTTAAATAGAAATTTGGGTTAAAGGACGAATCATTCCTGAGAAGAGATGTAGTTGCAGGTAAGGTAAAAACTTTTTTTTTAAAGTTCACTTCATAAAACCCCACAACTAATAAATAATTGAAAATAATCAGAGCAAATCTGCTGTGAGTGTTAAAAAGTTCTGTCCATGGCCAAATGATAACCTTCACAGATCAGACTTCTACAATCAGTAAAATTATATCCCAGCATTTTATTTTTTTAAAATCAACTATATTATATGATTTCTGGGGACTTTAACACCTGATCCAAAAAATATTAAAAATTTTAAATTAATCTTCTGTAAAGCAAACAAACAAACAAAATTTGAGATCTGAGGCTGTTCATAAAACATTCAGGGCTACAGCCTCATACACCCTTAATTCTCTCTTTCCGTTAAAAAAAAGATCTTTTTTCTTTTCTGTACCTGAATGACACGTTATATAAAAATGTCTGCAAGTAAAGTGAATTATTTTCCTGTTTGTGTGTGTGTTAGTTGCATAGCTGCCCTGATCTGTATTCAAAACTAAATGAAGCAACCTCTGTAAAATATTCATGTAAAATATGAGCATGATTCTGCCTTTAAACAGTACATGCACATTTAATACAACATGGACAGGAATGCCAGATCAACAAATGGTTAATAAAAAGATAATGCAGAAGTTTGTGCTTTGTTCTTGTTTCTGTTTGGGCTCCGAGGGATAAACGGATGATGAGTAGTCGTCCATGGATGCCTGAGTGTGTCTCCGTTGTCTGTGAACAAGTGGGACAAGAGGAAAGAGGTGTGTATATGTGTGCGATGGAGACAGAGGGAGGCAAAGTATCTGATTTCCCCTCGTCATCGGTGCTCCCTGCAAAGTCCTCAGCTGTCGCAAACTGTCAGCTTGACCTGGGAGTGCTCGGCCTGACACAAACACACACACACACAAAGTCACAGATACACAAATACAGATATACACTCACACTCCGGGCCTACAATCCCTTTGGAAATCACCTGAACAGAGAATATAGAGGGACCACAAGAAGGGGACCAGACTGTTGGACTGTTGATTCAGCATCCTGAGGGCCTGAAGTGAGGAAGCGGGCGGGTTGGTCGGCTCGTTTGTTGGCCTCAGCTACACCGATCACACAGCGTTCCAGCAGGTGAAGGACCCATTCACACGGAACCACCAGCACACAGCATTTGTAATTTTCTTCCACGTGAGCTGAGCAGATTTGAACAACAGGTGAGTCTATGCTGCAGTTTAAAGCCTCAGAGATTTTAATGACACAAAAGGCGTCAAAGTCAGTCAGTTTATTTAAATTAATTTAAATAAGAAAGTTGCATTTGCTTTCAAATCCCACCATAAGCACCACCACACTGTTTTTGTCAATTTACAAAAACCTTTTTTTTGTATCAGAATTTCACACCTTTTTTTCTGTCTGGCACACGAAACCCAAATTTAGCTGTGATGAGATTGGATTTCACAAGCCTAGAATAGGTTGGGTGAAGTAGGCAAGTGCACAAACACTGTGTGGGGTTTTGTATGTGCGAGTATGCAATCGCATTACATGTAACTGTTACACAAAAATGTCATCTGGATGTCTGTTGTGTCCATATTTTAATGTCGGCTGTCCTGTGTGCTGTGCAGTTTAGTTCATGTATCAGACATTTCAATGGCAGCTGTCATGTTGTTCTATAACAGTACGTTTTTGATCAGTATCACTGTGAAAATGTTAACACTGAGACATGTCAATACATTTTTAGTGAGTTTTCATTGTAGAACAGGATCATTTTCTGCCTACTGTACTTCATTCAGTTGTTTAAAAGTGGCTCAAAAATATGCACATGGCCGACAAAGCACATCGACTGTGCCAACGATGAGATGTAACAGTTGATACAGGAAAAGACTTATTATTCACAGTGATGAGAAAGGTTCTCAGATCCTTAACTTAAGTAAAAGTACAAATACAGCAATGTAAAGATGCTCCATTACATTAAAAAAATTAGGTAAAATGTAGTTGAAATATTAATGTAAAAGTCTTGGTTTGGTCCCTTCGACTGATTCATCAGTATATCTGACATCATTAGATTATTAATGGTGAAGCATCGGTGTGTCAGCAGCCTGTTACTGGAGCTCATTTAAACTACTTCATATACAGTTTTATATGCAGGGTCAAGTTCTGATACACAAATCTGTTTCTCTGACATCTGGTGAGGTACATGATGGTTTGAACATTCACTGAAATAAAACTACTTGTAGAAGTTTAGAGGGGAAAAACATTACTTGGAGAAGCTTATAACAATTTATAGATACTTAAAAGTGACAATGTGTTGTATTTTTATTTATCAAATATATATATATATAGAGAGAGATATTTAACTTGTTATATTAGCTATTGTCTAACGTCTTTATCTTAAATGCACAGGAGCAGAAAGTACAATAATTCCCTCTGGAATTAAAAGTAGAACTATCCCTTAAGTACAGTACTTTACTAAATGTACTTATTTACTTTCCATCACCAGTTATTCAAAATCTAAGAGAGGCAAGAAAGTGTGATCGGTTTCTATTTGCTTTGGAGCAACTATGTTATGAATCACACACACAAAATAGCTCACCTCACCTCCTGATGATGATTTGACATCTTCCACTATTTTCAAGAACAACTAACCCTATCACTGCGACTTCTCTTTAGGTGGGGCAGCATTGATACTGTCTACACTCCATCATGGATCAGTGAGTATAATCTTTATTCTCACCATTTCTTGCATCACCTTGCTTATCCTGCTGCTCCTCTTTTCCACAAGGCCCCATTCAGAATCCAGTGAGCTAAAAAGCACAACATCATACATGATCCACGTCTTTCTGTACACAATAATGATAAAGTTGCTCCATGTTCATCCTAGAAATGAACCATCAACAGTACAGTATTTTAACATGGAATGGCAACTTGATAGCAACACACAGCATGCCAGCCACTCCAGGTCACTCCATGAGGTCATGCTGTGAAAACTGTCTAACCTGCTCTTTATTAATTGTATGTTTACATGATCTGTTTCTACTGACACATTTGCCGAAAATGAAATGAAAAGTGAACTGTTTGTGGTGGGGAAAAAACACAGATCAAAGTTCTGATGTGTGGATGCACCAGTTCTTCACGGCTTTGTGGTTTTTTCTTTGTGTTAGGGAGGATGACAAAAACTCTCTGGATATCCATGACAACCCTCCAGCCCCTGACAACGTCGTGAGGGAGGAGGGAGACACCGTGAGTGGCAGCACCATGTCAACCCCCCACTATGAGCACTGCCATTCCCGGCCTGTTTAAAATAGCCACCAGCTGGGGCAGGATGGCAGCGGCAATTGTAAAAATAAGAGCTCAGTGACACTGCTGGGTGATGTGTGAGGGACGGTCACTGTGGGTTTAATTAGAATTATGAATAACAGTGTAGTGCTACATTCTAATGACTGATACACACAAAAATTGGCACTTTATGTTAATATTTAATGTGACTCACACAAACTTGTGTCTCCAGGTTTATTTCATATATGAGGAGGAGGTGGAGGTGGAGGAGAAGGAACCAGAACCTCCTTCAGAGCCTGTCCTCCGGATCAATGACAAACCCCACAAGTTCAAGGACCACTACTGCAAGAAGCCCAAGTTCTGTGATGTCTGCGCTCGCATGATAGTCTGTATGTATTGGTAATGATGGGAAGATCACAAACACAATAGCATCACATTCTAGTTTCTTCTAAACGTGATGTGATTCTACATCTAACACTTTGTTTCTTGGTTTTGTCTTTCAGTGAACAACAAGTTTGCTCTGAGGTGTAAAAACTGCAAGACCAACATCCACCATTCATGTCAGTCCTATGTGGAGTTTCAGAGGTGCTTTGGCAAAATTGTGAGTTTGCTGTTGTGCATTGAATTAGAAATCCAACCTTTAAACAAACAATAATACACACAGAATAGCAGGCCACTCCTGTGTGTGCAGAATCCCTTTAATTTGACTCCACTGAGGCAAAGAGTCTTTCCTAAAACAGCTGTTAAATGTTCAAACCTGTTTCCTATCTGCTCCCTGTAGCCGCCGGGCTTCAGACGTGCCTACAGCTCTCCTCTGTACGGCAGCGACCAACCAGATCCCAGTGAGTCCACTCAATCTTGAATGACAATGTGTTTCTTGTACATGTGGATTTCTTAACTTTACTGTACATTCAGAGCTGCTACCACTAAGGTAACTGAGGTTTTGTTCTCTGTATGTCTTCAAGAATTGATGGTATTTTTATGAGCTACATTTCTCAATATTTACTTTCATTTACTTCCTTTAGGACACCAAAATAATGCAAAAATAATTTGGTCCTAAATTGGCAAATTAATTGAAAACAGCACTAGGGGAAGCCAAATAAATGAAATATCATGGTCTGGAGAAAAAACTTTATATACATATTTAGTTTTAAGTGGATACAGAAAAATTCTCTTACAGATTTTTTTCTTTTTTTTAAAGAAAGCAGTGAATCTTTAAACAAAAGCTCTACAAAAGACAACAACATAAACCCCAATCTACTAAAATTTTGATATTTGGTAGCTTGGGGCTGCATTCGTGAGGACTTTGTTTTCTAAAATCTGGGCTAAAGCCTTTCTCATATTGCATATTTATCTTTTCAATTATCATTCCTGAAGCTCTGCAGCTTGTTTGTGAAAGTTTTGTGTAATTATTCTGTCCTTCACCAGACAACCCAAACCGGAACGACCCCGTTTTTGACACGCTGAGGGTCGGCGTCATCATGGCAAACAAGGAGCGCAAAAAGAACGAGGGTGACAAGAAAAACGTGGGTCTATCATATCATTTTATTTAAAATATTAAAACTTCAACTTCAGAAATAAAACAAGACATAACATATTCAAGTAAATACAGGAATTTTGAAAGGGTTTTAAGTAAAATCTGTGTGCAGTTTATTGAATTTTAACAGCGTTGTGTCCTCTAGATTATGATGATGGAGGAGGAAGAAGAAGAGAACCAGCAGCCCAAAGAGAACGAGGAAGGAGGAGAAGGTAGAAATAAATAAACTGGTGCTTAAGTGTTGTCTGTGGTGTAAAACATGCTACAAATGGGTGACAAATCAAAGTAAAAACCAACTTAAAGTATTTTAGTGCCACCAGAACAGCATCAATCAATCCTCTCCAAGTCTCTATATCTCTACTTGAGGGATGAACGTGCTTGTTCCAACATATATTCCCTCATTTGTGTTTTGATGATGGTGGGGGAAGAGTTCTCTCTAACATTTTATTCCAAAATCTTGAGATCTGGTCACTGTTAATGCCCTAAAATATCACTCACGTCATTTTTCAAACCACTCAACAACCCCTCATGCTCTGTACTTGAAGGTATTTTCATCCTGGAAGAAACCACTTCCATCAGCATGGCAGTTTCATCACTCAGAACAGCTGTACTGGTTTACTGTGACTCTTCCCTCTTTGGGTGACAAGCACACTATGCAGCACAATTACCCCCCACAGCATCACAGAGCCACCAGGTCCCCTCACTGCAGGGGTCAATGTCCAGCTTTTTCCTTCAACCAGCCACCTGTCTGTAGTTGTGGTCACAGAAATTAAAATTTTGCACTTACATTCAAACAATCCATAAAATGATTTTCCTTAAAATAGAGAGACACTCATTCAACAAAGAGGCTAAATGCTGGAAACAGTAAAATAAGAATATGCTGGTAAATTTAATTTCTGATGTTCATACAGGGAAGCCTGATGATAAAAAGGAGAAGGGAGGAGACAAAGCCGATGACAAGGTGAGAAAAAAACACGTTTTACACTCATGTAGCCACCAGATGCAAGTAATTACCTGTTTCCAAATAAAGCCGTATGTGCATGTTTTCGTTTTAAATCAGTATAATTAGTCATGTGCAGTAGCATCTGTGCTGTTTTGCCAACAGGCTAAAGGAACGTTCTCCCACTCCCACTACTATCTGGCTCTCTACCGCTTCAAGGCCATTGAGAAAGACGACCTTGACTTCCAGTGCGTTTGACAGTAACTACATACAATATGAGGCATTTATTCAAGCTATCTTGATTTTCACAATACTTTTTAAAATATATATATGTGTTTGTGTCTTAGCCCTGGTGATCGGATCACAGTGCTGGATGACTCCAATGAGGAGTGGTGGAGGGTGAGTTTTACCTCTTGAAACATACTGCTGCCATGTGCATCCCTGCAGTGGATGAACCCAGATTCTGTTCACTGTGTTGTCAGGGAAAGATGGGCGAGAAGACGGGCTACTTCCCCACCAACTACCTCATAAAAGTACGCGCATCAGAGAGAGTTTTCAAGGTGACCCGCTCCTTTGTAGGCAACAGAGAGATGGGACAAATTACACTCAAAAAAGATCAGGTAACGTCACTTATGTGTGCAAGTGGAACTGAAAAACATGCATCAACTTCCTAATCAGATTTTGCACAAAAACGTTGCTATATTTTGGGGGGTTATAGTTGACTTTTTTTAAGGTTGAAAAGATTTCTGAAGTACCAAAACATTTCTCATAGAGATCTGGATCAGTAATTGAAATCAGTCAGAGGCCTCCATGAGTGCATTCATACTGATGCTTGGTTGCTCTGTTGTCACTCTGCGTTTCAGATTGTGGTGAAAAAAGGAGATGAGAAAGGTGGCTACCTGAAGGTCAGCACTGGACGCAAGCTGGGATACTTCCCCGCTGATCTGCTGCAAGAAATCACTGTGACATAGTTGCAACTACATGTAAAGAAAGAGGCCACGACACACTTTGAACATCAGCACAAACTGGACACGTCACTGTTCAGGGGAAATCCTCCAGATCTTTATGCAATTTGTTAAGCTTGTTGCCTAAAAAAAAAAAAGTACATTTACTCTGATTTTGTCAGTCACAGCAGAAATGCATTTTCTGTAATATATTATTACCCTTGATGTGAAATGAAGAGGGTGAACAAGATGGCAAAAGACAATCAGATGATGGACTAGTTTGGTTGTGATAGCATAGTGGTACAGATGCTTCAAGTTACTGCCTGCTAATTCTAGTTTGCACAAAGTAGAGACAAAGCAATCAATTAATTTATATGACATTAAACATTAATAGAGGCTTAAAATAACATTAAACCGATATATTTCTGCATCTCAAAGCAAACTAGTGCTCAAGTTGCTGGACCTGGCAAATGAATGTAAATCATGCACAAAGAACCTCAAAGATAACTTCTACTATGCAGTTAAAAACACACATTTAGATGTTTTAATTCAATGCCACTGTTAATTTACAGATTCCTCTTCTTATTCGGGAGTCTTCCCTGAATCAAATATATATTACATGGCATTTTGGCACAATAAATGATGTTTTAGTTGCAGAAATGATTGTCAGTGTGTACAAGACTCATTCAGTCCATTACAGCTGCAAACACAGACTGTAAAGCCATTTCACTATGTACATAACTTGATATAGGCTAAAGAGTGAAAAATGCAGACAGTTTTTTAGATTGGGCTTGTACATAATTTCGCATGTGACTCTGACAAAGTGAATCTGTATGAAAGAAATGTGTATGTGTTAAAAAACAAAAAAAAGCAATAGTGTTTAAAATTGTTTGCACCAATTACTGCTGATGAAATTAGCACAATGCTTAAAGTGTAAACATTTCAAATATTAAACCTAAAGTGCACTTAAAAACTACCTGTGAAAATTCCTTTAAGTGTTTAAAAAGAAGCAAAAAAAACAAACAACGCTTTGTTTTGTATTTAGAGAAAAAAGGTTGAATCTCCACTGCAGCTGCAGGATGTACCTTTCTTCTTCTTCTCCTCCTCTGGCCCACAGATCTCGTCTGCTTATTAACTTTTAAAATATCCACAAGTTCTGAGTGCGCAGAAGCTCCTTGTACACTGGACGATGTTCACAAGAAATGTATTAAAGTAAAAATAAATTCAGCAGCCGGTTCGTGTTTACATGAGGGTGGACATTTTGTTTGGTTCGCCTTTCTTCTTCTTCTTCCTCCTCCTCTGCTGCTGCTAGTTCTTCTTCGTTGGTTATACGGTCTATTGGCCTCCAGCTCACATGTCACTAGCGCCACCTGCTGGTCTGGAGGATTAACGCAGAGGGAGTCACACGTTTATAAAGCATGTATTTAAACTTCAATTCAGTTTGCAAGGAAATTAAAGCTGGTAATTTGAGGTGAACATTATCAAAGCTAACATTAGGTTTGTCCAGTGAGTTCAACCATTTAAACTGATGGGCTCACATCAAAGAATCAGCATCTACACAGGTGAGTATCAGGTAAACAAACTCAGCCACCATGTTTTAAGGGTCCTCAGAGGTCATTTCACCTCAGTACACTTTAATGTGTCATATTTCAAAATAACATAATTCAGAATAAAAGTCAAAATGACTGCATCCTGTCGGTTTTCATGAATAAATATGGGGTACACTGCTGGGTCACTATTATCTGCTGCAGGGGATGAGGCTGAACTTTCAGCACCACACTGTTAGGACCCTTTGTCTTTGTCCACTGCGCCACCTACTGAACTGAATGATAGCAGCTCAGGGCTGATTCCACCCAAAATACTGCTCAAAGTTCCACATTTCAGTCCATGAAAGTAGTACTTCATCACAAACTACTTATTATTTTAAAGGTTTATTCAACTAAAAATATTAATTTTGGCCCTGGAATTTAACCTGGATGCTAAGAGTTACACAAATAGTCCGTACTGTGTCTCTCACTTACTGTTTTATTTTAGTAGATGTTTATTGATTGAAGTCGATCCTGATACTCAGTCCAGTGTGGCACTTTAAAAAAAAAAAAAATCTATATTTTTGATTATTTAATGCTGTTTATTGTGATTTTGAACTTGTTATACTTCTATAAATTAGACAGGGTTTTTTTCAAATTTATTTTAGGAGCCATTTTGGAAAAAAAGATGAAAGAGGCGGGGTCGAGGTTGCCATGTTCCCACAATGCCTAGCGGTCGACAGGAAACCCTGAGTGAAGACGGCAGGCCGGTGAATGGGGTCGGACTGTTGGACGTTAAAGGAACAATCCACTCTTGTTTCTCTTCAGATCGTATAAATCTTTCGCCTTTTACTAAAGATTTCCGTGGAGAGGAACAACAAGAGTATAACCCAATTTTTTGTTGCCCTGCTTTTAGTGGGGCTTCCTGAAAGTGTCAAATAAAAATTGTGCAGCAAATATGAAACAGAAGCTTCATTGTGTCTGATGTGGTTCAAACATGTTGGGACTCATGAGTGGATATATTTTTACGTGTTTTATTTGTCTATACAACATTAGTGTAGGGCCAAAATAAAAATTAATTACTAGTTTAACTTAAAATTGTGTACATAGTATTGTCAACCTTTACAGTTCACTACATCATGCTTGCCTTTAAAGTTACTCTTCTTCCTGCTGTTAAGTAAATAATCAAGACTAGATATAAAGGCTGATTACACTCAGAATGCTACTTCAATCTTCAACATGAATTCCATCCATATAGTACCTTCTAGTCTACAATTTTAAAGCTTTATTTCTACCACAATACAAGTTCGTGTTCAAGCGCCTACAGTTTATAAGGGTTATCCATCCATCCATCATCTATACACCACTTAATCCTCACTAGGGTC